CCAGGCCTGAGCTGAGTTTGGAGGGGACAACGTGGAGTAGCGGAGCGAGGAAGCTCTCCCACACACTTGCTGAGCCTGGGCTAGGGCTGGATCTGGGGGTCCCCAGAACATGGCAGAAATTCTCACTCAGCGGGCATGGTGAGGGGGTGCTGTGGAGTTGTGAGGGGGGTCCCAAGGGGGTTGAAGAGGGTCTCACTCATGCTGTGCCTGGCCTGGGACCTGCAGGTCCTGCTGGCGCAGGGTAGCAGGAATCTCTCCCACACACTCACCGGGCCTGAGCTAGGACTGGATCTGGGGGTCCCCAGAATGCAGCAAAAATTCTCACCCGGCGGGTGGGGTGGGGATGTGCTGCAGAGTGGTGGTGGTGGTGGGGGGTCCCAAGTGGGTGGAAGATGGTCTCGCCCACGCTGCACCTGGGCTGGGACGTGTAAGTCCTGCTGGCACAAGGTAGCAGGAAGCTCTCCCACACACTCACTTGGCCCTGGCTAGGACTCATAAATGCACTTTCAAGATGCTAATGATAGTTATAATTACTGACATGATTAGAGTTTTATTTTTATTTATTTCCTATATAATTCTTCAAACAAGTTCTGTAATTGTGAATGTCTAGAATAAAACAATGGATATTATAATGAAGACTGCAGTTAGAGAAGTCTGATTCAGTGAAGTCATTTCTTTCAGAAAATTCCTTGGCATAATGCTATTTAATAAGATAAAGGTTTTAGTTATTTAATAAAATCTCCCACTGAGAAGATTAAAAAATAACTAGGGAACGGCTCTCTTTATAAAGTTACACACATTTAAGTTAAGCTTTAATGTCTACACTGGAATAATACAAACTAGTAAAATGCAACGTAAAAACATCTAATAATATTCATAATTTATAAAATGGTTGAAAGAAAAAAAAAGTCACTACACGGGGTACAGCTGAGCCAGTCCATAAATTGAAAAAAAAAATTTAGAAAACAGTAAAATAAGTCTTATACAGAGTTCAATTCAGTTAGTAAGTCTGCTGAGCATGGAGTGCGTGCAACATGCCACGTAGTGGAGATGATGCAGAAGTGAGGGCCCACATGCAGAGCCCCACACTCTTCTCTACATGGCCAGGAACTACACAGGTGTGAAGATGGAAAAAGGAAGTCAAAGCCTTTCTCCTTAAAAACCCAAATTTTCTGAGAAAGATAGAAAGTGCGAAGAAAAATGAACTACATAATGTAAGATAATACACAGGAAACAGCATTGGGCAGCATAAGTGGGCCAATACCAAGGCTCCCTACAAAGACATCTGCCCAGGTACAACATGGCTTATAACCTACTCTGTATCACCTATTTGGATAGCAAAATAGATTTAAATTTCTGTATAGGGTCAAAATTATAAAGAATTCTCACTATTTTAATATAAACTGGTTTAAAATCTGCCTAAATGTAAATGATATTGGAATCATTTTGACTATGCCTTTTCCTGTTAAGCAGCAACTTAAAGATTTTCTTAGGTTGTTTCTGACTCTTAGAATCCTAAGTGTAAGACAAAATGTAGACCATGGGATAAATTAAAAAATTAAGTAGGTGATATCTCAGATAATTTAAATCAAAAATATCCATGTAGTGGTAAATATATTTCAGTATTGATATAACAACTGTATGTAATGTGACATCCTGAATGGGAATGTAAGATAGAAAAAGGACATTAGATGAAAACTAAGGAAATCTGAAAAGAGTAGGGTTTGTTAGTTGTGATAAATATACCATACTAAAGTATTAGTAATACAAGACAGCGAGTATAGATACGTGAGATCCTGATACTATCTTTGTATATAATCTGTAATCTGTATATTTAAAATAAAAAGGTTACTTAGAAACATATTTAAACATGTGCAGGTAATATGTATCAATTTGAGAAAACTAGCTCTGTCAGATCATAAATATTATTTCAAATATATATTAAAACTTGGGCCCATTTACACTGGGTCATACCATACATAATGTTTACGATTGAACTTTGTGGGGCTTGTTCAATCATATTTGATGAACATCTGTTATGATCAGTGGCACAAATTAAGCTCTATGAGCTCAGTCAGAGCTTTTTTTTTTGAGCTCAGAGTTTTTATTTTGCTTTGTGTACTTCAGTATTCATAGTCTGTATTACATAGTAAGTATTCAATAAGTGGTTGCTAATTCTCAGCCTCTTTAGCTTTCTTTTGTAACAAGAGCCTTAATACATGAATTGGAATTCAGTTTGAATAAACACAAAATATTTATATAATATGTGTATTTAACGTTTTCTGGGGAATATGTGAAGAAAAGCATAGAATTAGAAATGAGGATCCACAGACTCATCATACTTATAAGAATGGAAGTGTATTTAAGTTAGGTAAAAGAAAAGTCTTCATAACTAAAAAGAAATGAGATATTCCAATTTGAAATGTGCATCACTGTTCTTAGGATATAAATACATACATGTCAGCCTCTCCCGGAGCTCTGGAGTGGGAGCCATATCCACAGCACTTTTGCCATGGCAGTTGACGAGCGTGGGGTCGGCACCATGGCTGAGCAGGAGCGAGCAGACTTCCACACGATTTTTGGAAGCAGCCTCATGGAGTGGAGTGAACTGCCAGAGATCCATCGCATTCACACAAGCTCCGTGCTAAGTTAAGGCATAAAGGTTCAGGTCAGTAATCATTTCACTGGATCAAATCAAACTCAGAAAAATCATTATTTCATTGTACATTTCAGTTACAAATAAAAATATAATTATTTTAAATATATGATTACTTTAAATTTTGATTTTAAAAACATGTAAATTATTTCAAATATTTTAAATAATGGTAGTTTTTCTTTTTTCTTTCTTCTTCTCCTTCTCTTTCTTCTTGAGGGGTTGGGGAAGAGGGACTCAGGGATAGGACCCTGCTTGCTAGGCAGGTGCTTAAGCCACTGACCTATCTCCCCAGACCAGTATTTTTAAAGAATCTTATTCTTTTAAAATCTTACTGACTAAAAAACACATGAAGCAATGGCAACATTTTTAAAAAATAGATACTTAATATTTTTAATTAGTTTTACCTTTAGTAGCAATTCCGTGACTTCATAATGTCCATATGAACATGCATTATGAAGAGGCACAAGTCCACTAAATGAAAAGAGCCAAATTAAAATACTCAACTTTCAAACATTTGGTAGTTGAAATGCCAAGAAAAAAAAAATCTCAATAAAAGTACATTAAAAAGTTTAGTATTTAATAAAACAGTTCAAAACATAGCTGATGTTTAAAACTTTCATATTTTTCTTGTTTTTGTATAACTGTTACTGATAAAAATATCAATAACAACAATAGCTGAGTAAAAGGGAGCTTATATACCAAATGACAATTGCATGCTTTATGTATCAATTGTTTATCAGTAAAGTTAATTGGCAGAGAACGGAAATTATTGTTAGCAATTTCCATCATAAGAATCCAAATCGTAACTGGATGTTGAAGTATGCTAACGAGGCCAACCCCCTTTTCCACTGTGCTTCTCAATGACTCACCTATAGTACACCCATCTGTTTTTCAGGCATGCACAAGAAATAGAGATGTACGAGAACATCAGGCATTTACGCCCCTACACTACTGGGATACCGTTCACATATGGTACAAAACCTGGTGCAGGCGAAAAGAGAAACAGCACCAAAAAGAGCAGACATACAGTGGATGGATTCCCACTCTCACTGTTACCTGAAGTATTGAGTCCTTTTCTTATGCTTTCTGACATGGGGGGGGGGGGGGTTTACAGTGAAAGAAACGCCATTCTAGGTGCCATTCTAGGGTGCTGCTTCTTTACTCTGCCAACTACAGAAATGGAATAATGGAGTAGTGGAACCTGCCTTACCTGGTTAGGGGCCACTGTCTTTTAGATCTTAAGGTGAGCTGATGGGAAATGTTAGCTTGTCATATAGCAGACCAAACTCATGTAGGTCTTCCATAATGTACCAATTCATAAATACATGACTGAACTGATTTTTGGCTTCCATCTATTTCCCTCCAGTATTAACACAGAGCTTGGCACTTTTCTCAGTTTAGGTGTTCAAGATTTCATCAGGAGAAAAACCCCTGATTTGTTATTAAAGTATCAACTCTTATTAATAAACCAAAATCATAATTATTGCATACTTATGATTTTGGTTTATTAATAAGAGTTGATACTTTAATAACAAATAACTGTGATAGCTGTGCTACCAGAATGCCATAAATTTCAAGTTGTTTTATCTTTCTGAAGTGCAACTTGTAATGACTGCAAGTGAAAAATACATTCTAGCTTCAAATAACAGAATTACAATAATTTAGGTAATTATAATGAAAGATATCTTTGTAGTAAGTAAGCACAATAAAAACAAAGCCTGAGATCAGAGCTGTGACAATTCTGAGTGAGATATATCACTTATACTTTGGGATTAGCAGATGGTGGGAACAGAGCCTAATAATCCATAAACAAATCAGTGAAAGGCAGAACAGTGATAACTCACCCTTTGTCTTTTGCATGAACGTCTGCACCATGCTGAAGAAGCAGTTGAACTATCCGAACTCTGTTATAGCCTGCTGCTAGATGTAAAGGAGTAGACTGGAAAACAGAAAGAAAACATCTCTCTCTTCAAGAGAAATAATTCTTGCTTTGCTATTTGATCTGTATTCATTCAGATTTATACACAATGAAAGTCAACATAAAAAATACAGGGCTGATATGTCAAAAATTCTCATTTTATATCTAGATGAAAGGCAATTCAGTCTCCTTGGACGAAAAATTTAAGTTTAGTCCATCTTCTGTGGTATGAATATGGTTTGTTCACACTAAAACTCATGTTGAAGTGTTGGCCCCAATGAACAGTGCAACAGTGTACAGAGGGCCTTAGAGAAGGACTGATACTTTTCTCTCAGAAGTGAGGAAATGGCCTAGTTGTCAGGAGAGAGAACTATCATAAAGCAAGTTTAGCTTTCACAGCTTGTATTCCTGCTACTTTTCTTTGTGGTTCCTGTCTTTCTCTCCTTTTCAATGTCCTTCCTTTCTTTCACTCTCCCTTCCTTTCTGTCTCATATTCAGCAAATTTGTTAGACTAACACAAAATGAGCCAAGACACTGTCCATCTATTTCTTTTGTTTTATAAGGCTCTCAGTAATCAAGCCTGACCCACCCTACATTACTTCTTTTTCCATTCTTATTGTTGAACCATTCTTGCTGTTCTAAGAAATCGTGTCAGGGATCACATCCCTCACCACTGCAAACATTCCTGATCTATTTAAGTCCTGTCCTTTCAATTTCTTTCAAATCCCAGTTCTACTATGAAGCCTCATCTAAAGATCTAGCTCTGAAAAATTTTTAATAGGAAAGACCGAAAAGCATCCCTGAAGAATGACTTGAAAAACTGCAGTGAAAACCAAAAGATAAAAGCATTTTATTCATTCTTAAGGATGCCAAATATTAGATCAAAACTAACATGATACACTGGATGCAAAGAAAGTTGAAAGCAATTGGATGCATATGTTTAAATATTACACTGTTTTTCTGGTGTAAGAAATGTTAAAAAAAAAACAAAAGCTGTAAGAGATACTGGGAAATAGGGAAAAAGTATTAAGTTTGGAGGGGGACTAGAAGGACAGAAACAGAAAAAAGAGAAGGGAGAAAACTGCAACAAAGCTTTGATAAATAAAGGGGGAAAAGAATTGAAGGGAGGAGAGGGGATTGGGGAAGAAAGAAGAATCATTGACAGGTATAAAGTCCCTCTGATGAACTAGATAATTATGAATGTTTAAAATGTACCAATAAAATTAACCAACATTAAAAAAAGAAAGTTGAATGCAATGAAAGATGTGAAGATATTTAATATAATATTCAATCTTTTTTATTTACCATATATGCATATCAAAGAAATACAACAGGGAAATACAGTCTCTTCTTGACTATTCTGACATGCATTAACTTGACTAAGTTATTAAAAGCCCTCTGCTAAAATTTCAAATAGTAATTAAAATAATAATTTTTTTTACCTTTTTAAAAAAATCAGAAAGAACTTCATTTTAAAAGAAAACTTCATAAATCATTGCAATTTTTTACCTTTGATTGCTTAAAGTTTAATATTTTAGCAGTTTTGCATATAGGCTCTAATATGGTGGACTCTCATTTTTATGTCTTCTATTTGGTGCCTTGGTATTTAATAAAACTTTAATTTCCTTCATCTATTCCAAATGTGAAGATACAGAAGAATTACTATGCATTATATAGTCTATTACTACTTTTGAAGTCCTCTATATACTTTACATGTTATGAAATTAAGTTTAGAAAATATTTTGAGCAATACACAATTATGAAATGAAGAGACCAGGTAGATTAAACGTCCTTAACAGAAAGTTTAAAAAGGCTGATTATATTCCAGAGCCTATTAAACCCCAGAAAGTCAGATTGCCTGTGCTTCAGCTTTTTCAAAAACAGCAACAAAATTTCCCTCTCAGGTATCTCAATAACTTATGAAAATAAAGTTTTCTACCATAAGTAAACAGTTCTAAAATGTAAAGTGCCATACAATAACAGACAATGAACATTTCTATATCATCAAGCAAATTCACGTAAATCATAAATGAGAAGCCCTTGCAAATCGGCAGTTACAGGAAGCTTGAAATGAGGTGGATGGGAAAAGTGACATTAAGGAATGACTTTTAAAAATTATTAGGAAGCCTGATTGATAGACACTAAAGACTGATGTACATAGTGAAGGGTGTGGTATCTTCTGTTCAGAAATGTCAATGATAGAAGACAGAAGGGGGTACTACAGGAACAGGGCAGGAGGGACCCTGAAGAAAAGAATTTGGAGTTTAGTACTGCATTTAAAGTGCTTACATGACAACAGAGTGGCAATGTCAAAGTGAGCTTTATATATACAAAATTACAGTTCAGAAGAGGTTGGGGCTACAAACAAATCTGGTCACCATTGGTGTCCTTTAAAATATTTTAGCATCTGCCACATACGTGACACTCTGCTAAGTGATAACCACAAGATGTTCAGTATTTTGCCCCTAGATAGTTTTCTGGGGTACGGATGTAGAGACCAAAAGCACTGGGGACTGAACCCAGTGCCTTTGCACTGAGCTACGTTTCCCCATCCTTTTTACATGTTTAATTTTGAGACACAGTTTCACCAAACTGCTGCTGCCCAGAAACCCAGGGTGCACTCAAACTTGTGATCATCCGGCTTCACACATTCCCTATATGAAATGTAAATAAACAAATTCTTTATTCAGAAAGACAAAAGATGGGAAAGAAAACTCATTTCTGCAGAGTCAAGTGTCTCCAGAAAGCAGGGACTATGTTCCTGTGTGAAACAAAGCAGCAGGCTCGTCCTAGAGCACTCTGCAGGCAGGCAGGGCCAAGCAAGCGCCAGGGGGGACTACAGAATCACACTGTGAGCTGAGAAAGGCACAGCAAGAACACCTGAATGAAAGGCTGTGGGATTTACCCAGAAGAGAGAGAATGACAGTGAGAACAGCATTTAAGCACAAGTAGTGAGCTATGAGTGCGGGGTTCACAGGAAAAGTGAGAAAAGTGAGTGAGACTTTATCCTTCCAATGGGGAAGCTAATCTTGTAACCCAAATGCTATCAGAACATACATAAAAATCAGTAAAATGCATGCAGTGAATCTCAGAAAATGGCAGAAAGCAAAGAAATACAGACAATTTGACAATAAATTTATGCCAATAAAAGCACAAAAGGTCTTTCAAAATATAGAAAAAAATCCTAACTGTTATTTACCAAATGCTGTCTCCTGACATGCATCTTAGGACTAAGCTTAGTGAACTTCTCCACCTAGTGTCAAAATTACACCCCAACTGTCAAAGAACAAGGCAATGATAAAAGTGATTTCCTAATTGCTAGGGTACTTAACACAGTGTAAGTCTGGTTTTGGATATAAAAGGCAGACCCATTTGGAAAATTCTCAAGTATGTTACAAGATTATTTGACGGTAGTTGCGAACTAGTAAATTCAAGAATCACATGTGGGCCACGGACACAGCTCTGAGGAATAGCACATGCCTGGCAAGTGTAATGTGGTGCACTTGTTCTGCAGAACCAAAAAGAAAAAGAAACAAACAAACCAAACTACAGGGCGCAGCAATCACTGCCAATCTGTATATCTCATATTTATTCTAAAAACAGATGCTTCTGTTGGAAAAATTTTTAAAAGATAAACATGTAAAGTAGTAAAGTAAGAAACCATTGGCAATATAAAAACTCCATTTAAAGATTACTGTGCTGCAACACAAAAAGGGCTGAGGATGTAGCCTCATGCAGCAGTCCTGGGTTAATCTCCAGTATTATTCAAAAAAAAATTACAAAATACCAACATTGTATGACAAATCACTATCTCTTCTTATTCTGTCTTTAGATGATTTTGCAAAATGTTTCAGAAATGTCACTACTAATATTTTCACATTGCAAAATGTTTACACAAAGAAATTCTTATTTAAAGAAGTTCCATAATTCGATATTTTCTTCTTGAATTCTGGTTTTAGAAAAAAAATTATGAATTTAACTATCTTTACTTTGTGTGGTGTAGATTTGCAAGTCTGCATAAGGCTTCCAAGTAGTTCTAATCATCCTATTGATACACACACAAAGCAAAGATAGTTAAATTTGTATGTTCTTTTTCTTAAAACCAGAACTGGCAACAGAGAATATAATTTAATTTTATCTTTCTAATATTTAACATAATACCTCATATATAGAGTATTAAAACGAATGAATGTGCTGCTGGGCATGGTGGTGCATGTTTATAATCCCAGACCTCAGGAGGCTGAGGCAGGAGGAATACTCTGAGTCTGAGGCTAGCCTAGACTATACAACAAGTTCAAGGCCAGCCTGAACTATATAATGAAATTCTGTCTCAAACCACCCCCAAAAAAGAATGAATAAAACATTATCAGTTTTTTATTTGTATTACTAAAAAGACACAGGAAGGACATGGGTAATGTAACATGGTAAATTTGACTTTAAATTTGGGCAAAAGCTTTAAACTGGCATTTCAACACAGGCAAATTTGATGCATATTTTAGAAGAAATTAAAACCACAACTGTAAAGCTCTGATGTATGTCATTAGAGCCGTTTTCCTACAAAGGAGGATTCGGTTAGGTGTAGATCAACCCCTCTGAGATCTTCCAAACTATGGTGATGGACGTGTCCTAGTTCGTACAGGACTTGTGTGGTACCAGGAAATGCACTGATCCCAGCTGAACTGCAATGGCTGTTCAGTTAGCTAGGCTTAATGCAAACAAGCCTCTTGGCTTCTGGAGTTGCCCAGCACTGGAAGGGAGTGTATTTGTGTGCATGCATGAACACATGCTATGCATTCTAAGACCAACT